ACATATATATATATATATATATATATATATATATTATATATTATATTAGGGGTGTACCTTTACATTTTGTACATACATAGGCCTATTATAGGCCTATATATAATTTTTGTTATTATTATTATTATCATGTACGTTTAAATTTTGTCAGTATATAAAAATGATATTAAACATAGCGTGTACAGTATCTGCCTCACAGTATAAATGAAGCAAATATATTAAAATAAAACCAACATATAATTTACTTTGCTCTTTATGTTTTAACAATATCTCACAAGAGATAAGACAAAATAATTGGAGATTTAAAATTCAACAAAGGCATTCCATCATGTACTTCTACTCCCTCATCTGTGTCCCTACACATGTATCTTTGTTTCGTTGCAGTGACAAATGTTGTTTACCTAAAGTTCAATTCAAAGGCATCATTCTTCCTAACTAGCTGCGAGGGTCTTTGTACCACTTTGTCCAATCATGAAGCTATTAAGAGACTCCAGCAACGCCGAGCGTTTAAAGTTAAAAAAAAAAAAAAATTCAGGAACGATTTACCATAATGATGTGATTCAATATTATTGTTTGTTTAAGTTTTGTCGTTTGTGTATCGTGTGTACTTTTTACATAACAATTCACAATTGCACAAGTGCAGTAAGTCTTTATATGTATACAATAACAGATGACAATTCAGGACATGTGACAATAGATTGACTGACTGACAATTCCAAGTAAAGGAATCAGGCATCATTTATAAATGTTTAATATTTTTTGTTTTTGATATGACAATAATTTGATACGGGTTTATGATAGTGATTACTAATGCCTAATATAAGTATATAAGTATTATAATATGATGATAATAAAATAGGATATATATATATATATATTATATTATATATTATATATAATAGTCTATATATTATGTTATAATAGTCTCTACTATTTTATCTGAAGAGTGCTGCACCATGTATGTGTAGCACGAAACTAAATAGTAATAAATATGTCCAATCAAAGCTACTGTTGAACCTCTCATTTTTTGTCTTTAATTCGCTCTGGTTTCATTACCATCGAGCACTCTGCTGATAATATTTGCAACACGTTCAACCGTTTATATATATATATACCTGTATATATACC